TAATTTCTCCTGGTTCAATCAATAATCAATGTAATATGTGACCTCTTAAAAGATTTTAAATTGTAAGGTTTATATATAAGAAGAAATTTGACATAAAAAAAAAAAAAAAAAAAAAAATTAAAATAAAAATTTTTTAATGGGCATGGGATTTTTTCTTCCCCCTTCTGCAATATATTCCCCCACCTTCAAAAAGATTTAATTTCTCCAGGTTCAATCAATAATCAATGTAATATGTGACCTCTTAAAAGATTTTAAATTGTAAGGTTTATATATAAGAAGAAATTTGACATAAAAAAAAAAAAAAAAAGTAAATGACAATACAAACTTTTTGGCAGTGAGGTGCCCGTACACAGCTTTTTTGCTTTTATTCTCTAGTCAAGTGTATAAATATGATACTCTTTCAATGATCAATACTCTCATGAGATTTATAGTTTAAAAGGACAAAAAGCTGGTTCATTATTCATGCTCATGGCATTTGTCCCTGGGGCATTTTGTTTCTATGGATGAGAACATAATATTCATAAATAAAACTAGTCAATGTAATTTTTTTTCAAATTAAGGTACCGGGTACGTAAGTAAAGATGAGCATTTGAAATTGAATGCAAATCCTTATGCTTTTTACATTATGTAGGTACTGTATGATTATAATATCAAAACTGCATTTATTATTTTATTATTGTTGAACCAATCTTTGTTTAAATTTAAAATGATAATGGAACAGTTTAGTCAAACTTTTCATTATCCGCCAGCTATGATTTAATAGCGAACTCTCTTAAGCATTCACATATCATTATCACCATCAGTCATTTAACTTATTTAAATAGTTTAGCTTAGTTTAGTAAGTAACACTAACTACTGGCAGATAAACCTTGCTAGTTCAAGTTTTATAAAGTTACCTATTCCCTTAGTTACAAAGATTTAAATTTAATGAATAAACCTTTCAAACATTACATTTAAAATAAATTTAATAGTACTAAGTATCTTCCTTTAAAGTCATTGTTGGATCTTAAACTTACTTGGAAAACCTGTTACTCTGAAAATACAGACATTTCTTTAATAAGACATTCACGATGAGAACAAGAAAAAGATGATTTTTCTTGGTAGCCGGTATGAATTCCCTGTATATGCTGGTCTTAGTTTAGGAATTTATCAAGAGCCCTTTTACTTTTAAATCAAAAACTTCGTTTTATCTAGGAATCCTAAACTGGTACTTGTAATATGGTACCTGAGTTTAAAACCAAGTATCTAAAGTTGTGGTTGCTCTAAAGTTTTCAGAAAAAATGTATAAAATAAATTAAAATTAAATATATGGGTACCAGTAGTAATTTTTTTTATTTGAAATGAATATATGTAATTATCATGTACAGGAAAATGCAATTTTATATAAAGCAAAGGCAATTTTTTTTTATGTTTAGTTGGTACCTTACTGGTACTGATTGATATACCGTATTTATTGGCCTATAACACACCCCCGCGTGTTCACGTGCCTCAATTTAAGGAAAAAACTTAACATATCGGCGTATAACACGCACACATCATTTGCCCCCTATTTTCGGGGAGAAAACGTGCGTGTTATATGCCAATAAATAGAGTAAATACAAGAATAAATGAAGTTGCCCAAACCAAGTTCCAGTGCATGAACTGCCAATGTACAATCTTTTTCAGGATAATTCAAATGTTTTTACAATATATCTTTAAACTAGTAACTGTTTTACAAACATGTTTTCCATGACAAATGTAATTAATAAAGTTATTTAACTCTGTGACAAATGTTTAATTTTATAATTTATACTGTTACTTTAATACTGTGTGAAATAAATTTTTATGCTAATGCTATTCACCCACACACAAAACAACATATTAAAAAAAAATTAGTTTCAGTTATTTTATTTTCAACCATTTCAGTAATAAATAAAATGCATATAATTCATTATGGTTATTTATTAACTTAAACAAGGCTCTTTTGGCTATTGATTAAAAATAACAGATGTGTTTCAATTTGGAACTATGTACAGAAATTTTTTAAAGTTCAAAATAAAAACAACCAAATTTCTTTACATAAGTTATTTATACAATTTCCATTTAGTAACTTTAAAGGATTAAATAAAAATATTTATGGTTAGTTTTAAAGCAAGATTAGGTAAATACATCTATAGTGAGAAAAAAAATTTGGTTTGAAGTCTTAATATGAGACTTCAAAGTAACATGGTGTTTTATTTTTAGAATAAACTTTGTTAAGACATAATTCCGCCAGTAGGGATACAGTACATTTTAATCAGGGGCTTCTGAAGCTCAGTAATACTACAGAAAGACACCATTGAAAGACAAGCCTGTTAACTGTTATGCACATGAGAACTTTTTAAATATATAAAATAACTTTTTTTAAATGGGCAAGATCACACAAATCATGCTCTGAAGGGTTTATTTTACTAAAATCATGCAATCATATCTTTCTTGGTTAGAATTACAAAGCTCTACTGCTAATATCAACATACATAATATATAATTTCCAAACAATTTAAATATAATTATTTTTATTTAACAAGATAGAAACAATATGAAAACGGCTATGTTTTGATTTACCATTATTAATAATTAATATATGAGATAATCACAGGCAACTCTAAAACCTGTACAGTAGTCACATTTTATGTCCTATGCTGATCCTTGTATATAGAAGAACACTATACAAGAATGACACAAACAATAACATTGATCTTTCTGTTGCCCTGCAAACAAAATCTAAATTATCTAAATTGTTTGTGTGTGTGTGTAGGAAACAAGTTAATATTTTAAGACTAAAAATATGTGGAATTTTATTTTAAAATACTGCTGGTAGTCGAGCATGGGAATTAGCAGCTCACCATGTGTTTCATATTTTTTACTCAAATCTTAATCCCTGTACATATGGAAGAAATTAATTTAGACTCAACATCAAAATTCAAGAGTATTTACAGGTTGTTTCATGATATCCCTAAAGAAGTGATTATTTCAATCAAAGGTGCTTAGAAAAAAAGGATATAATCCATTACGCAAATCAGTACTATTAATGAAATTTTAATAAAGGATTGAAAATGAATTAAGTGAGGATCTTTTAAACATCCTGGAAGGGTTAAAAAGGTAAATAAATAAGTCACATAGAGTTAGAGCAAGGCGCCTACAACATGGATTTAATCAATTTTTCCCTTGCACAGCATTCTAATTTATCATCTTACAGATTACGTTTTTAGCAATGAAAAATGTAAAACCATCTTTAAGTTTTAAGTTTATAAGTTTTGCAATTAACTACTAAAGATGAACATTTGAACCCAGTTTAGTCTTTGAATAATTAGTCTTTTCATCACTGCATTTTCAAGAAAAATAATAAAATGATAACTTTCTAAGTACACCTTTTAAAATTTTTTAAAAGACACTACCGCTAATAACAGTTGAGTTGAATGAACGTACTTTACTTGCATCCTAAAAAAAGGAAAGAATGGTCCCGCCATTATTAATGCACCAAAACTATGTACAAGATATAGCTTTAAAACCCAATGTTTTTTTTTCACATTTCATCCAGCATAAAAAAATCTTACAATGCTTTTTGATTGATATTTACAAACAGATCCTGAGCAAAAAAAGATCTTTCCATACTTATAGGTAGGCTCCTTATTGCAAAGGAAAGTTCTTATGAAAAAAAAAACAGTACTATTTTACTTATTTGAATGTTTAAAAAAAATTTTAATAATAATTTTGCACAATTTTAAACATCTAAAATAACTTTTATAACTGATACCAGTATTTTTCTTAAAAATGGAGGTACATTCCAATATGGACAATATATATACAAAAGATGATTTTTGGAGAGAAATAATAGATTTATAAAGAAAAATTATTAGTGTACAGCTTTTTTTTTGAAATTTACTATGTAAACCTTAATTTTTCAAAAAACAAAAAAAACTAAGGAACCAGCAAACATGTTTCAAAATTAAACCAAAGAACTGCTTACAAAAAATTGAATATTGCATTGAAACTAACAATGAAATTTTTTGTTAATACATGAAAGAATATTTCAAAAACAAAATTCAACTGTTAATCCTGGTATCTATTTAAAAAATAAGTCAATGTATGTCCTGTTAAAATTGTACAAAACCTTTAAAATAAATTATCCACCATCATAAAAATAAGGCACTTAAGCTTTGTACCAGTGATCACAGATGTTATAAGTTGTAAGAGCCTACAGGATGTCAATGAAATTTTGATGCGAAGAAACAAACTGGCAAGTGATGTTTCGGATGTTCAAAATGAAAATGGAATAGTTAGGTCACGTCAGATACATAGAAATAAACCAAAATAAAATGCAATAACTTAATTTAAAAGAAGAAAAATTCTAGTACATTGCATATGCGAAACAGAATGCTGCACTTCCAAAAGACAAATTTTTAATGAATTAAAACATTGTCAGTTAACATGGCAAAACTCAACAATCAACATTCATATAGAGGAAGTCTTGATAATCTTTAGTGTTGTATAAAACAGTTTATTTTTACCTGTGTAAATCTCTTCAATCTAATGTTCGTAATTTAAGATAACATAAAACATAAAATGGAGAAGATAAGTAAGGGAATACTTTTATATAAAAAATGTGTGGTTTTGTTGTATCAAGTGGTAGATTTTCGATGTAACTATCTGAACTTTGGTTTGTTGATAGGCTCATTTAGATCTCCGTAGACATTCAATATTCACACAGGAACCTGCAAAGTTTAATTTTTAAAAAGGATTATTTAATCAACGTTTTTCCTCTAAGAAAATCATTCAACATCTCTAGCTTTTAAGTATTAAAATTAATTAAATTAGTCACAAATTTGTTTTCAATGAAAATCCTCACCAGAGAAAGATCCTTGAAAGAGTATTTTCTAGCCATATTTTTCCACATAAATAACACACTTATGCTTCCTAATAAATATTCTGTAATGTCCTTGAAAAAAACAAATTTAAAAGCTGTAATGTTTCTTAAAATGTCAGCTTATGATTCCTACCATGTCATGATCATGTGATAGTTCTGTCCCTGGTTGTTGGGTGGCAAAATATCGCACATCTTTGTCTGCATCACATTGTAATCTTTGCTGAGTCTGAACTAGATCCTCATGATAAGGGTTCTGTTGGGTTGTAAAAAACTCTACGAAAGCAAAGAAAAATATCAATACAGATACATAAATTTACTGTGTACAAATTTAAAGTAACATTTTAATGGCATAAATTTTATGTTTTAACCCATGAGTCTGAAAGTAGTCATGACATTTTAGAACATGATGTGCTTACTAGGTTTTAGAGCTATAATATTTTAAGAAATCTGGAAATATTTTTAAAATATATTTTAAGATAATCTAGTGAACACACCCCTACTGGTAATAAACTTGAGGACTGAAGAATGCTAATCATTGTTTATGAGATCATACATTCAAGGTGCCCCTCTTAGTTTCTAACAAATAAGGGGTTGGGCTAGCATCCCCAATTTTTAAAACTGGTTTGGATAGCTTGGTTAAAAATAGATTTTTTAAAAAAAATGTGTCTAGGGGGAACTGGAACGTATATGTAAGTAAAATTACAATTTAAAATTCATGCGTTTACAAGTGTTTGCTATTTGGGTTACTGGGAGTTAGGGTAGCTAATAGATTAACTGCCTGAAGGCAGTTGTTAGAAACCCTCTTTCTGCTGACATTGCCTTGCTAGAAGACTTGAAAACCTGTCTTTAAAAAATATACCACCAGCCCAGAAAAGCTAATCATAAAGTAGGCAAGTATAGACTGAAAGATAAATGTGTTTAACCAGTAACTTCCCGTATCCCCCGCCATCGCCCGCTAGCGTTTTATACCGTATCGCCCGCCATCGCCCGCCATCGCCGGCTATATATACATGCCAAATAAACGATGTATTGGACCAGAAAACGTTGGTATAAAATAATAAACCAGCTATAGTATGAAAGTAGAAAAGATCTACTTCCTTTTCCTTTTTACGGAAACGAATTACATTGAGAGACACGCGAGCTACGGATTTTTGAAAATCATTGAATTTGAAGCATGGCTTTCCGATTTTTAGAAAGTTTGGTTTCCAATAATTGTAATGAAAGCGATAGCGATAGTGATTCCAATGAAAGTGACATTGAAAATGGATTTGGCGAAACTCCTGATGAAAGTGTTTTTGATAGTGGTAGCAATCTTGATACTGACAGTGAGAGCTCCGACGACGATAGTGTCGATAGTGAAGTTACTACTACTACTACTACTCAGTCTTTTCCTTGGAGTGCTACGCTCAATCCAGTGGAAATTGAGATGTTTACATCAGGTGTTGGGCCTAATATTGTAAACATGAATATTGATCATCAGGCTCAGCCAGTGGAATTTTTTAAATTATTTTTTCCTGATGAAATTATACAAATGATTTCTGACCAGACCAATTTGTATGCTGCCTACAGGAATGCTAACAATTTCACTCCTGTCACTGTCAGTGACATTCAAACATTCATATATATCAATATGATGTTTGGTGTGCACAAACTACCAGCATACACTATGTACTGGTCAACAGATCCTCTGTTAAAAGTATCCAGTGTGGCAGATGTGATGTCAAGAAATAGGTATCAAGAAATATCTCGATACTTTCACCTGGCTGACAGCAGGAATTATATCCCGAAAGGCCAAGATGGGTACGATCCCTTGTATAAAATCAGACCAGTCATCACAGCTGTAAAAGATGCCTGTAATACATTATACAGACCTGGAGCTGCTATAGCTTTTGACGAAGCTATGATACCTTTTAGAGGCAGACTGTCTTTCAAACAATATATAAAAGGAAAGCCCCACCCATGGGGTGTCAAAGTATGGTGCTGCTGTGACTCGGCGACATCATTCCTTTTAGACTTTGATTTTTATACAGGGAAATCCGACACCATTATGCCCAATGGACTGGGCTATAATGTCATACAAAAATTAGGCAACAGATACCTAAATAAAAATCATCATTTTTATTTTGACAATTTTTTTTCGTCGGTGCAGTTGGCATCGGATTTGTTATCAAGTGGCACCTATTCATGTGCGACAACTCGACAAAACAGGAGACACTGGCCCAAGGACCTCAAAGGTAAAATCAACAAGAACCACTGTGAAATGAGGCAGATAGGGAGTCTGGTTGCATGTTGGTGGAGAGACAAACGTGCCATCTCCATGATTTCAACCAACGCGTCGCCTACATTAGGCACTGCATCACGCCGTACAAAAGACGGCCCTATTGATAAACAGATCCCCCAGTCTGTACTTATCTACAATGCTAATATGGGTGGGGTGGACAGACATGATCAGCTAAGATCATATTATCCTATTGGCCGAAAAAGCCACAAATGGTGGAGATGTTGTTTGTGGTTTTTGGTTGAGACGGCAGCCCTGAATGCGTATATTTTATACAAAAATATGCCACATCCCCCGACATCAAAGCCAGTGTCGCATTTAAATTTCCATTTGGACATTGCTCGCAGCCTCATGAAGGGTTCTTCAAGGAAAAGAAGACAGGCGGAGGTCCCTGCTGTTGGTGGATTGGCTGTTCCTGGAACTTCTTTGGAGCATCGTAGAATTCGACTCCCAGGGCGCAAAAAACAATGTTTTCAGTGTCGGCAGAAAAACGTTCGCACTGAATCGAATAAAAGACCTGAAACTGTTTTTGGGTGTGTGTTGTGTAACACACACCTTTGTGATGAGCTATGTTTTGCTCAGTTCCATGCTAAGTTAAACTAAGGTATTTATTTATCAATAAATGTACAGAAATTGTCGTGACAAATTGAATTTTTTGCATATTTTCTAACATTTTAATTTTTTTTTGTATGTAAATTTTTAGTACACCCCTACATATTTGGTGTCATCTGATAGATTATTCATTTCTCTACATAATGCAATTTTTTTCACATCAATTGGATTTTAAATTAGCGAGATGCGTTTATTTTTGTAAAAGAACTAAATTTGTAGTTTAGAGTTATTCCCCTTACGTTGGGATAATATAAATGTTTTGTGGTCAAGCCAATGGGAAGTTATTGGTTAAAAACAAGTCCTCTATACCACCATATTAGTAATACATTGGGAACAGTTTTATCATCAAGAATAAAGGTGGTCAATAGTTTCTTTATTAAGGAAGATATCTAGGAAAAATCAGCATTGTGAAGCTTACAAGCTGTCTCAGCTATTCAAATAATTTTTGAGAAACTTACCTAAAGGCATAATTCTCTGTGACATAACCTTTGCAAGAGAAAGCCTGACATTGGGCACAGGGTCCATGCTAAGAGCTAATAAGCTTGGGAGAAAGTTTCGAGCAAAGACATCAGGGGGTAAGCTGTTTTCTTCTAGTATAACATAACACAGCTGTGCAAATCTGTTGATTTAATATTATACATATATATTTATCGCATTCTGTTATAAATAATTAATTAGCATTTCAATAAAATGAAAGCAAAACAACAATAGGTATTAAAGCTGATAACTAAAGCAAATGGTTAATAATCAATATCTCTTACGTTTGTCGTGACAGCCATCGATAATCAGCTGCAAATTGCTCAATTATATTGTTGCATACTGATGCCAACAGTTTCTTTTCTTCATCCATGTAAGTCTTTTTCAATATGGCACACAACTGCATTGAAAGGATAAGAAAATTTACAACAAAGCCACAAAAATATACCGCAGATAAATAAAAAAAACAACTTTAGTTGAATCCAAAAGTTACATGTCGAATGAAAGAATGTTAGGCTGTCTTTTCACAGCAAAACTAAAAACTTGTATATCTCTTTCTATGTGCATTCTAGCTAGGATTAAAACTGATATATCGCAGTTTAACGTATATTTTGAGTTAAAATATTCCTACAGACCTGTTTACCCCCAAACTCCTAAAATCGTACAATATCATCTCAAAATCGTACAACGCAGTATTTTGATAGTGAATAAATAAAAATACAGTATATATAATGTATACAATAACTACTCCTACAGCGTGTTCAGTGCCCTCGGGCAAGGGGGTGGCTGTGGCTTTCTCATCAGGGCCTTGCGAAATATTTTTAAAAATTCATTATTTTATTTTCACTTTTAAACCAATGTGACAACTTTCGGTCGTGGTGTTAACAGTAACCCACTAAGCAATTGCTGTTTGCAGTTCCAGATGGCGCTCAGTGACCTACATACACGTTATATTTATTTTTATCCAACCCTTATTTTTTTTGTGTATTTGAATTGTACATGTTAGAATTCGACACAGGGAGCCTGGTGAAACCGTAGTGTGGCATAGGCGCAGGGAAACGAAAATTTTAGAACCACTGGCGTAGCCCACCGAATTATACGTAACACGTGGCCTTACCTTTCGGTGCGCTAAACATTACTGTAATTTCTCTAATACTGAGTTTAGGTATAGCTAGGAAGTTCATTTGTGAAAATACATCTTGACAACATCACGATAATTCCTGCAAACATTGGCTGGTATTTTACAGCATTCGAAATATAAATGTGCTATTTTTGGACTTTCCAAGTTTCGGTATGAATATTGTAGCATTTTTAAATACTGCATGAACTTTCTGCAGAGGAATATCCTCCCCCCCTCCACACACCCCAAACTGACATGAAAATGTAGGTGACTGTGTTGATTGTATAGATTTAAATATTTAGACCCGTGCCATACACACTATCTCCTAAATCCACACCACTCATTTTGCCTCTGGTTGCTACTGAAAAGTCCGACTTGCAGAATGTGCAGTGGGCGTATGATGGACACTTCTATGAAGACTTCAACACAGTAAATTGTGTCTTATATTCAAGCAAGAATATAAACTTTCTGTTGAAGCTGATGTTTATCGGTAGAAGTAGACGTTTCTTCTTCATCATCGGTTTCCCGTGCCTTTCTTTTTGTGGAGGCCATATCGTAAAATACTCACCAGGTAAACTAAACTAGGGGACCGAAAAAGAAAAAAAGGATAGCCGATTCCATTAATGGTAACATTAAAATCAGGCAACATGCACACCCGTCAATGTAGCCAAATTCGAACACCAAAGCTGTTAGGGAAATGGGACATTAATGTATAACATACCTGGTACGCAAAATAAAGTTTTATAAAATATTTATACCCACCCCCAGCCGCACCTTGTCAACGTAAAACAAAGGGCCATCGAACTATTACGTATATTATGTAGGCGCAGAGGATGCATATGATAGATTTGATGGTGTGGGGGGTGTGTGTTGTGTGTTGGTCAATAGACTGCACCTACATTTATGCATACAATAATTATCCTGACAGTCTCTTATAGAGCCAACTGTCATCTAAAAATCTGTGAAATCCGTGAATTCTAATTAGGCCTTTTTTAATATTATTATCATTATTAAGGCTATAAAAAATATTACAATATTTCGCAGTAAGCATATAGGCCTACTCATATAAGCTACTAATGCTTTGTGTTTTCATAAAGAGATCTCTGTAGTTGTAAAATTGAACATGACATAGTGATAACACACTGCAGTCCAGTAATTCATCTTTCCGTGGTGGTGACGGAATTATTGCCAACGGGCAGGACCCCCCCCCCCCAATAGGGAGGGGGGGGGGAGAGAATTGAGCAGTCGTATGATTTATTCTGTTTAAAAAAAGGGGTGGGGTGGGCAGTATTAGTCGATAACACACTGCAGTCCAGTAATTCATCTTTCCGTGGTGGTGACGGAATTATTGCCAACGGGCAGGACCCCCCCCCCCAATAGGGAGGGGGGGGGGAGAGAATTGAGCAGTCGTATGATTTATTCTGTTTAAAAAAAGGGGTGGGGTGGGCAGTATTAGTCGTGATACCAAACTGTCATATTACGATCGCTGAGGGTAAAGAGCTGCTTTACGAGTTCTACCAATATTTTTTAAATGCCCCTGACTAGCTTTTATAAAATATGTCCACATCCAACGTTCCAGTGCAGAACGGTGGGATCATGTATTTTATTATTTTAAAAAACGTCTCTAGTTTTCTCCGTTTTCACAATCGCAAAAGACATCTCAAAATCGTACATTGTACGCCAAAATCGTAAGAGTAAACAGGTCTGTTCCTTTTCAATTCTCACAAGAATAAGCATTAATGGAGGAAATTTTTTTTTACAACACTCATAAATCCTGAAAATAATTTTATAATCATTCTTTTTTTAATGCATGATCTGTCATATGCAAATGTGATATATTTTTTTTTTTAGTAACTTTGAAATGTATCAATAAAATACCCAAAACTAATAGAAAATGAACCCAGTGATCCATATTAATTAAGATATTCTGGTATGAATGTTGGAATTATGTGAGTACATTTGTTCTGTTTATCTTTTATCAACTCACTTTGACTGTTGGGTCCTATTTATCTCTTAGATAAGTTTTTAGAACATAAAATATTCTTTCAGTTTAGAAAATATAAAGATATCAGTTATTTGGATTTATAGACATTTCAAAAAAATTTAAAAGTGACCTACATATTTATAGATGCCTTTTAAATTCATTAATACCATATATTCGACTGCTTCAATGATGAGAACTTGAACAGCTACTAGTAATTATATAATTATCCCTACCATGAGTAATGCCAACAAAACAATCATCAAAATCACTTTCATTGGCTTTGGTTTTGCAGGTCCCACCAACTTAGTTTTAACAAAAATAACTCCAGATAATTTAAGATGGATTGATTATTTTAAAAATGATAATACATGAAATATTATCAATATATAAAATTATCAACTATTACAGCCATGGGTTAATTTAATGCTAGTGTGCAACACGTTTTTTCCCCCACTGATATAAAGGTAAATGGTATCAATTTTTTTTTACAGCTTGCAAAGTGAATATGTTACATAGAAACACCATAAGACATACCAATCTAAGAGCCACTAATCTGACTTGTGCCACCTTGTCTGTCAACATCACCATAGCCAGTGGAACTATATTATTAACTATATCTATACAATGGAAAAGATCACACACTTGTACTAGTTGGCTGTTGACAAAAAAAAACAGAAATTTGTAATTCATAATTTATAAAAAGGGACAGAGTTTACTGACATTTGTGGCACATAGAGTAAATATATTTAAATAATGACTTATGTCTACAAATATAAAACAAGGACATCAATAATCAATAAATTACTCACTCTGCAAGCTCCTCTCTAAATCTCCAGTTTCGTTGATTATCTGTCTTCATAAACTCATGAGTCCTTCCAAGATACTGGAGTCGAACTTCTGGCCTAAGCAACTGTGAACATGAAATGAAGAGTATAAATAAGAACATCAAAATTGATTTAGAAATTATCCCATCTTCATATAACCCATTTAACCTCTGTGAAAGTGAAAAAAAGTCAACAAATGTTACAGAATATTTAAACATTTATGATAACTCTTAAAAATAAATTTAGCAAGTGAAGGGTACTGAAAGCCAGGCCCATGAGGCTATTTCTGGCAATTAAATATAAAAAATGTATTATTTTTTAAGTAACCTGATATGTCTCATGCGCAGCACTAAAATAAAAAAAATTGGATTCTACAACTAGGAGCTCCCTACTATAAACTCACATACATTGAGACTGCATTTTCGATCATTAACATATTAAAGACAAAAGTTTTAGCAGCGAGATCACAGAAAAACATCTGGAAAACTCAAGGCAAGTTGCTTTGACTTTATAATCATAAGATCATTTGAATGAATAAGTAAAATAAGTCCAATTTTTTTTATTACATTTTTCAGTTAAAAAAGTCAATGAACTAAAATAAAGTTGAATGCCATTTGGTGCCTTTTGATGCAGGACGTAATAGCCCAGGCCAGGGGTCACAGCACTTTTTAAAACTATTACCCAAAAATTTTTGTTCATGCCCAACGATACACAGCACACTTCATTTCAACAGAAGATATCAGAATGGTTTATAGAATCTATTTATGTATGATACAATTTTAAATATGAAAAGTTTAAAATAAACGAATCTTCAAGGAACAAAAGGATCTCCTTAAAAAAATGAAATTTGACATGGTTCAATCTCAAAGTCAGATCAGCATAAAATAAAACTTATAAAATTATTTAACAAATTAAGGCGTCATTAAAAAAAACATACCTACCAAGCAACTTGAGAATGAATTTTTAGGAAAATATATATATATTTTTTAATAAAAATAATCAATATCCATTATGCCAATTTCCAGTTAATATATTACAATCTGACAACTACTACAAGTTGTAAATGGGTGAAAGGTAGAGGGGGCATTAAAAATCGTACACCTGCTTAGATTTATCTTAAATAGGAAGCTAATTTAGATTCCCACGGATCCTATAAAACATGTCGGAATCTAATATTGCTGAGAAATAATTAGTGAATGTATCCTCAAGTTTTCTCAGTTTCTGCACTTGCCAGCCACAGACCCGTGACCCTCAAACTCATCGTACAATATCACAAAATAGCTCAATACATTATCTTAATAGTATAAAAATAACATACTGTATATATAATGTATACACCCCAAAATCGTACATTGTACACTAAACTCGTAAGATTAAACAGGTCTGCAGCTGTAAGAAGTAATTGTCACAAAATTATGCCATACAGCACAGGCAGGGCCAAGAGTATAGGACTAGGTGAAACAGGCTCCAAAATAAGGGGGCGCCGAAATTGTTTTTAGGAATGACCTTAATAGGGAATTTATAGGGAAACTATAAAATCCCATTTACTTCACAAAGACAAGGGCTGCTAAAAATATTCCTTCTACTGGTCTGCCTGGTGGGTGCACATTTTTCTATATGTGTGGTGGCGGCTTCCTCACAGTGATGTTGCAAAATATTCAATTTCATTACTTTATTTCCACTTTTAATCTTTCGGTCACGGTGCAGTTTCCCCCTTGAGAAACTACTGTTTGTAGTTACTAGTTGGCACTTAGTTACCTACATAATGTTATATTTATTTTACACCTAACCATTTAATTTATTTTGTTTATGTGTGCGCTATTTCATAGTGCACTTGTTAGAATTTAACACAAAGAGCCTGGTGAACACATAAATTTGGCATAGGCACCGGGAAATTAATATTTTAGAACCACTGGCGTATTCCCACAAAATAAATGTCACAAGCACATTGAAGACAGTGGAATAAATATTACTGTAATATCTCTACTACCGAGTGTACCTAGCTAGTTCATATGTGAAAATACATGACAATAATTACTACAAAGCATTGCCCAAAAGATAAATTTTTTTGAATTTCAGAATGAATATTGTCAAATTTGTTAATAACTTGCGTACTTTCTGACAAAACACCCCTCCCCTACACTATCATTTGAAAATCTGATGTGTTAAATTTTAAATAATTACATATTTAGACCCCAACACAAAATCTCCTCAATCAACTCCACGTAATATAATTATAGATGGCCCACAACCAATCATCATATTTCTCATAACATTCACTGCTGGATGTAACATGCAAATTAAAACTAATAACTGAAGATGTGCTTTTATTACTTTTTTTTTTTAAACAGCAAAACTACGGCATGTATATATTTTTAGTCATATTGTATTTCTGACGGGTCTCGGCGTACAAACGTAAAAGACATCTCAAAATCGTACACTGTACGCCAAAATCGTAAGAACAGGTATGCTTAGTAAACAAAAAATTTATAACTCATTATACTCTTGGAATCAAACTAATCAAGACTTTAAATATGTAAATTAAAAAAACTTCCATGCACAATGATGATGTATTAATTTTATGATTGTATTATGTTTAACTTTTTAAAGGTTGCTTGAAGGTTCTGATTTAAAAAATGGTACAAACTTCTTACCCGAAAAATATCTGCAAGATGCTTCAATACACCAATCCGTACTTCATCTAGATCTTTGAGAAAACCATCAAAAACCGGTACTAAATCTGTATGAGTAATTTCATCTCCAACAATCATAGCAAGTTCATGCATAGAGAATGCCAAGGTGCGACGAACCTTCCACTGAAATGTCAAAAATACCTAAGGAGTAATGCCTGTCAGAAATTACTGAATTTTTTTCTGCTATTCTTTATGATAATATACACTCCCAAATCAAAAACTTAAATTTTAAAAGATTTTCTTTCTGTAAGTAATGTCTACAACAAACTGATTGAAATTGACAACATCATATTAAGTAAACCCAAAACATTAAAAAATCTTAATACACCAAACTTTTAATGCTAAAAATTATAAGAGTAAAGTTAGTTTATAAATAACTTAGTCTAAAAAAATAACTTGAGAAAACAATATAGCAAACAGTTTATAAAACAAAAATTTTCAAATCATACTGGGAAAAAAATTTAATCTAGGTTGAGACCAAACTAAACTTCCTTAAACTGCCTGCATTTCCTAACCAAACTACCGTTTAACCCTTAAAGTATAAAGAGACAATCCAAATACCTGCATATCCTGTGCTAGTCTCTCATATAAGTTCTTTATACAATGCCAATTCTGACGTCCTAATGTGTATGCAACAGCAGGTAAATTATAGGCACAATGTTTTGTGATCTCTCCATCCACAGTTTGGGCACGAGATGGATCTACCATACCCAGATAATTTTCTAACAGCAATTGTGGAACAATACTCTGGAAGATTTATTTTAAGATAAATAATTTCATAACATCTTACACTCTTTAATTCAAAACTATCTACAGTCTACACACAGTTAAGTTATAAAGATAAGCCAAAAATTATACCTTTTTATTGCATGTTTTGAATTGATTAAAAAAGAATAGAAATTAAGAAAAAGTAACAAAACAGTTTCTGACAAATAATAAATAAGCCTGACTATAAATTCATTATTCCACAGCTGGAAATGCTAATTATTAAGGGGCAAAAATTAGAGTCGAGCCAATTTAATAAGGAAGCACTGCTTGTTGCAGTGGTGGGCAAACTTTTTTGAAAAGCTAATGGGGGGCCGCATGCATGTTATGTTCCATTTTTACATGTCGATAAACATTTCTCTATATTAAAATCTGTAAATTCACATTTTAGCATTACTTGACAAAAGTAAAGGACTGTTTAAAAGAATTGAAATTAGACAGAAAGAAATTTGATAAACAATGTTTTAGAACAATTGGTACATGAAATTCTGTAAAATTCAACAAAATAACTTTAATACCAAGTAATTTTTTTTTCATTTCTAAATGCCTTCGATGGCCGCATAATATCAGTTGCCGGGCTCGAGTTTGCCCACCTACTGCTAATTGGAACTTACTCAGTATTGGTACTAATAACAATGAATCTAGTATTTTGAATTTTAAACTTTAAATCTTTAAACAATCCACCCTCTATTCAAATACTATATCCAACTTTTTTGGAGATCTTCAAATTTCTGAAACTCCACAACACTTAGCCATCCTAGAATTGTAATACTGCCATTGCAGCTAATGAATTTATTTAATGAAATATGTTACTGCATCGACTGTTTAGAAATAACTATACAAACAGGCCAAGAAAGAAACGCTCCTTAGCTAAAACTAATTTGCTTTTACAACTTGCTTGTCCCAAGAACACAAAATTATCTTAGCTACTTTAAAAAAACAATACCTGTTGCTGAGCGAGTGATGCATCATCTAATCCAAAGTCCATCATAGACTGCATATCATCCATAAAGCTGATGTTGCTGGTACTTAAATCTATAAGTGTACACAAAGAAATTTTCAATATAAAAATCTTTTGAGGATCAGGTTTTAAATAATTAAAATTTACTTTTGATATATCTAATTGCCTACAAAGTTTATTTAAAATAATCCATATTACTAATCCAGTATTGAAAAAGCCTTATATCCAATTCTCTGGCGTATATGATATAACAAATATATTTTAAATAATTCTATTAAAATAAATATAGCATGAATAGTTTAGAAAGAAATAATATAAAATAATATATACATAGAACACAGATTTGCTAAATTTGAGGGCATTAGGTCAACAACTAATAACCAGAAAGTATATTTGTTAGAATGTAAGTAAAGATGTTTTTACTTTACTGGTGCTATGATATACCAATATGCATTATGTGGAAACTAAAGACAAAATCTGCTGCAGCATGGTTCTTATATATTTATACATTACTTAAGTGATTCATAATAAAGGAAAGTCAACTCTACCTTGAACAACACCATTCACTATTGCTAAATGCTGCTCGCCCAAGTGATGACCTAAAACATGAGTGCTGCCTATATGGGACACAGTTTCATCAGCTACATCACTTACAGTGCTAACACTTGCTGTATGTATTCGAACACCAGACTTTTCAACTTCAGAAGTTACATACGATGAGTTTGAAATTGATGGAGTCATACTGTTTCCTAATGACAAGCCCGATACAGAATTTATCAAAGAATCTGTCCTAGATTTGAAAGAACCGGATATACTGACATTCATCTCTGAAGCATAAACTTTTTTAGCATCTTCATCTTTTACTTTAGCAACAACATGAATGTTGGTTGGCTGTCCATTTATTATGTCAAAGTCTATATTTACTTCTGGGAGTGGAGAGCGCCAGTACTGAAACGTATTGAAGTTATTATCTAAATGAACATGGACTCTGCCAGCAGAGGCATCATTCCCAGGTTCAAGCTTAGTTATGGTGGCACATTTCTCCTTAGAATTTTCCATAAATACACTATCAGAATCTAGTTGGTCACCTTTCTGGTTATCCAAATAAGGCACATTAAATGTTCCTTCACCTCCTTTTGAATCTCCACTACCTGCTTCATGAATACTATCACACTTAATTTCAACATCTTCAGCTGAATCCTGTTTCAGATCAGTACCAGCTGATACACTAGACTGAACATGAGATTTAAATATGTCAGTTTCAGGGGCTAGTTGACTGTTGACGTTATTACTGCTATTACTAATATCACAGAGAGAATGACGAGCGTCTGTCACATTCACTGGGCTGCATGGTTTGTTCTTTAATGAACTTTGCTCTATTGATTCTGCCCTTATCTCCTCAACAGACTTTTCTTCTAAATCAAACACAAGTTTACCCTTTCCCATTAAAATTTCATCATCAACAACCCCCCCATTAACATCGCAACTATCCACAAGCATTGCCTCATCTTGCATTCTGCTGTTGTTGCTAATGTCACTAGATGTTAAATCTAATTGGTCTGTAAGTGCATCTAAAGTTGAGTCGTTGTGTACAGTATCTAAAGATGTGAGCTGTAAAATTCCAGACAAATTGGAATCTCCATTTTCCTTCTCAGCTAAGGATCCAACAAGATCATCAAAACTGAAAATAAATTTTAAATAAAAAAAACAAGTGAAAAAGAGTACATAAAAGATTACAATAAAATGTTGATCTTGGGAAGAAAATAGGTAAAAATCACCAGACAAAAATGTGCATACCATACAAAAATAGGAAACGCATTTTTAATATATTTATTTTTCAATATCTTGCAGTTACTACATAAAACATTGACTTCGCATTACATTCTATATACAAAAACTAAGATAATATTTACATAGAAGGGTTACAAAGTCATACAGCCTAATTTTTTATCTTACCTATCAGCATTTTTAAAGCTAAGGCTTCCATCGTCATTAATAACTAGTCCTTTACTCTCTGCATCTGCAAATGTGGAGATAAATGGTCCAAGTTGCTGAAAGGCTGACATCCGAACCTTGAAATATATAATAAACAAATTAGGACAAAAACACTAAATTTAAGGAAGTGTATAAATACAAGAAAGCTCTTATAAAGTAATGTAAAGTAAATTTGGGGAAAACTTACCCATCTTGACTGATCACAGAGCAAATTTACAAACAGATTAGCTAGTTCATTTTTGCGGGTCTCCAAAGAACATGCACATGACACTGTCATGAAACATTCTGCACATGCCTTTCTGACACCCCAAACTCCATCTTCACACAAGAGGTAAAACTTTGGAAGCTAAAGATACAAATGAAATCATATAACTTTATCACGTCTAATATATTATTTGGAAATTTCAGATATCCACATATTATAAGTAGGTATATGTGTACAAAAATGGCTTTTGTCCAGTTGAGAACTATAGCAAGCGCCAAATATACTTTATAACCTGTATGTTGATTAACTGCACTATGCATAATGCACTTTCAGTACTGTATTTTTTGGTTTTTTTTGTAAACCAGGGGTAGGCAATCTTTTGGAACAGCGAGCCACATGTTCCCCAAGTCTGGTTTAATAGCAAATAAGATCAAAATATCACATTAAATTCTTAGAGCAAAAGGTCTACCTGCAAAGGAATCATTTAAGTCAATGGTTTTGCAGTACCTCATCCCACCACCAATCCCATTAATTTAAATACATATTTCAAACAGTTGGTACAGCACATATACCTATCTCGCACCCCCTTGGGATGCCCATCCCCTGCCTATCTCACACCCCCAGCCCCTTTCAAAAAAATTATTAACTCACCAGCACGTCTTCACAGTTTTTAACCCCAACTACACTTGCTACTTCCCCAAAGTTTGCAGCACAAACCTGTAAATATTTGTATTAAAAATATATAAAATATTAACATCACTACGTTTTAAAAAGGTAAATACTGTCAATATTGCTTTAAAGCAATTAACATGATAAAGACTATGGGGAAAAAAAAGATAATGAACAAAGCTATGACTAAATATTTATTTTACATGTTTCATTTCTGAAAAAACAACAACTGAAACCTTGCCCTAATATCCGCTGATGCGAGGCAAGGTATTCAGCGCCCAGAGTTATCACATTTTAAATACAAAATACTATTTATGTGAAATATTGTGAGTAAACTTAAGAATAGGAATACTTGTTTTCAAAATTAAAATAAGGCTGTGTTGTAACCACTTAATTCAATAAAGCTTAAACTGCATAAAAATACCCTGAAATATTAGAACAAGGTATATTGAAAAGACAAGGACAGTAAAAGGAAAATGTTTCAGCTACAAGCCTTCAGCAGAAAAGAGACACAACAAAGAAATATAAATGAGTTCATAAACAAAAGTCTGCCATAGAAAAATGGTAGAAGCAGTAACGTTTTATTGACAGAAGTTAGGCCTTTAATACCGAGACATCTGTATTATCCAAAAGGAAGTAAGAGAAATTGGGCATCAATGTGAAATATATAAATATATATTTTGAACTCATTTCTATTTCTCCTAGATTCTTGTTCCATTAATAACCCAAAATATTACTATTTTAAATTGCAAACCGATTACCTTTCTAACATGGAATAAGGGATCATTACACATTTCACTAAATCTTGGGAGGAAAAGGCGTTCAGTAATATCCTTTCCTAATAGAGGCGCCATCTTACTCATGAGCTGGAAAGCATTAAGTAAAGGAAATGATAAAAAACAATGCACAACCTACATTAAAATTTCTAAAAACTATCGCTCCATACCAACTCTTATATAATAAAGTATATAGTCAGTGAAGCAGTTATATATAAGATAAGCAAGAATTCAAAAAAATTACCAACAAATTATTAAAGTGCAACCACAGTTACGCTCACATCATGCTATGATAATGCCTAAAAAAGGTGTCATACATCTATCTTGTTTTTTACCACAAATATTGACAATTTTTTACTGACCCAAATCTAGTAATCAGTAACATGAACAATTCTTATATAAGCAGTGAACATAAACTTCAAAATATATAATTTTACCAATATTAAATAGTTTTCACATTTTTTAAACTTATTTTTTAGCATTGTGAAACAGTCTGGTATTTAATTAATTTAAACAAATAACAATAAATAACTTTCCACTAAACTTAAGGTAGATGATTGAAACACAAAATACTCTTTAAAATCTGCAGCTTAGAGGTATCCCTGTCATCAAAGCTGGCTGTGATATGTGTTAGTATCACCACATCACAACCGCCTTGACGTCAGGGTAGCCTGGTCTTGACCTTGTCAATTCAGGCTCTGCTTCTAACTTGACACTCACCAGACAAAGACTTCAGCTCAACTTGTTACGCTAACAACATAGGGCACAATAAACGAGAAGTTGATGCTTAAATCCTAAGCTCATCAAAGCTGACTGTGATATGAATAATCTGCCAACACATCACAGTCACTATGATGCCTCAGAAACTAGCAGTCTTTGAAAATAATGCACCAAGCTCACCTAATGCTTAGTGACTCAAACGATGCCTTTTCAACATACCAATCCTCAAACCAAACTGAAGCATTTCATCAGTTTTGAAGCTCATCAAAGCTGGCTGTGATATGACCACTTTCAACAAATCACAGTCACTCTGACGTGCCACAAAGGTGATTATCTAGAGAATTCAGGTAGCATAAAACAACAGTCTTCGTGATGACAAATGACACTGTACTGATCCAAGCAGGCTGTGATATGCATAATAACACATCCCAACCACCTGGCCAGAGCAGTATACATTGTTTTATCAATAAAGTAGACACTTCACATTTTAGAATAATTTGACTTTAAATTTTAACAAATCAGAAACAATGCTGAAGAACAAAATATAAAAAAACTTAAAACTAACACTGCAAAGAAAATGTTTAAAAGGAACATGCTGATGTAACACCAATTTTACCCACAGGACTACAACGTTTAGTCAGAACAACGCTCATCAAAGCTGGCTGTGATAGGCCCAATGTGATTTACTATAACATCCAGCATTGACGATGTTGGCTTGACATATACACTACATTTAAGTTTGAGACTAGGTCTGTGATGCATCGTGATGAAAATTTCTCATTAATGCAAAAGACAGAGTAGTAAGGTGTCACTTGTTAACCATCTCACTACCCATGTCTTTCACATCAAAAAAGAAAAAGTGGAGACTTTCCCAGGAAAAAAAAAAAAAAAAAAATTAAAAAAATAGAAAAGTAAAATTATAGCAGAGGACATCAATGGAACATAAAAGATCAAATTCACTCATCCACATTCTTGCATATTATTGCTAACTGATATAAAACTTACAGCAGCAGCTTCTGATCGATAATCATCTAAATTTTCTGGAGATGCTAAATCTAGGATAACATGAACAACCTGCTGCTCTATATCTGACTTTTCTACAAGTTCTTGTTCTAACAATACAAGCAGAGCAGCTTGACTTGTTTTGCGAACCTGGGGGAATAAACAAGATTGTGAAGCCGTTTTAACCCACAAACTGTGGAATAGATCATGCAGTAGTGTGGGAGCTTTTTAAGTGCCTTTAGAAACAGCATTAAATCACGCAGAAATATTAAAATAAGACCCCAAAAAGTATACATTTTTAGAAGGGTAAATGGATGTGGATAAAGTTGGCTATATTGCCCACCCATAAACAAAAAATTATTCTGTGTCCTTGACCTTGGAGAGCTCAATATGGGGGGGGGATGAGGATCCACAACATGTCTTGCTTTCACATGCTCAAATCATTAATTTTTTTAGATTCCATGATAATACAAATGTAGCCAATTCATCTATCTTTCAGAAAATGTATAGTTTGCTAAGTTTTTGATTACAATTAAGCCTCTGAAAGCAATTTTAGGTCATTTATTGCTGCAAAAAAATTAAGAAACTGGGACCACAGCTAAAATCAAGTACAACATACAAAATCTGAGGAAAAGTCATTGACTTGTAAACATTTAAAAAGGAACTGTGGGACCGATTATAAAATTTATTAGTTCTGATCTATAATCTGCAGCTTCTGTGACTAAAATTCAGTCAGTCCTTGCCCAATCTCTGGACCTGGCTTGAAGTCTAAAAGTAGGCCTGCTTCAGTATCACTAAGACTAGTATCAGATTCAGTAGAAGAAGAATCCAAACTGAGATCGTCATGGGGAATGTTAATATCATCAGTATCACTTAAATCCTCTCCTAAAAAGCTTTCAAAAATATTTCTATTAGTACTCATACTGAAGGCCCAGCCATAGCTTCAGCCATTTTAGCTTCTTTTTTTTTTTAAAAAAAAAACCAAACAAACAACAACAAAAAACGGACACATTTCTATGAAAAAGTACTTACTGCTAAGTTATCACAAAAAAACCAGCTTGACCCGGAAGATGATTTAATTATTAAATAAAAGGAAGTGGCTGTAACTCCTGTTAAATCTTGCATTGGAAGTTGCTATCAGACCGTGTTTTTTTTTTTCATTGGCCGCCACAGTACAGAACAAAAATGTCAGCCAATTATTTTTGTCTGACCAGTTTGTGGGTTAAGACTTTTTATAGACTGGAACAAAAATTGTACAGTATTTCTAGAATATGGTAATAGTAATAGAGTTACATACCTGGCTGTTAGAATCATTTAGGTAGCGAACCACCATGGGAAGAATGTAACGAGGTACTGCATTCTCAAAAACATGACGATTGTCTTGACAATACACTGCAATGTGTGGGACTTGTTCCATCAACTCGGATCTGACTGATGGTTCTAAAAAAGTTTTTAAAAATTTTTTTTAATTAATTGAAGATCGAAAAAAATGACAAATATAAATATACAGAATTTAAATAAATAATATCTTAATCACTTTACCCGGATCTTCTGATAGTCGAGCCATAGCATCCAGAACTGCATTGCAATTGTCCTCAGATTCATACACAGCTCTAAGTGTATCAAGAAGACCTCGAGCCAGCATTTGTCTGATAAAAAAACAAGTGATAAATTAAAGAAAAAAATTGTGAATTTACGTGTATGAGGTTAGGGCCTAGCATTTAAAAATTTGACATGTAGCTTAGAAGATGAATTAAAACTTGCCTATTAAAAATGTTGTCACTATCAAGGTATTTCTCCAGTCTTTGAAGGGGAGTAAGATCCTCAACATCTCCCAATCCATTGTCAAAGCTATAGTCTATGAAATAAGAAATGGATTATCGGTTATTGGTAGAAGAGCTTGTACTATAAACTGTACTGCAAATTGAGCTAGGCAAAAAATCGTGAAATATAAAATCTGATAAAATACCATTTTATAGGACTACAACTACACATTGTACATGTCTACAAACACTTTAAAAATAAGCTAATACTTAAACAAATATTGATACCCATTCTAAATCTTATTTTCAAAGTCAAAAATGTTGAGTGAGGCCTCAGAAAGTCAGCAAGGTTTTTTGTTTTTTTTTAAACTTTATAAAGTAAGAAAGCAAAATAATCTGAATGAGAATCAAACACTAGCCATCCAAAAATATGTCACGTTTATTTCATGAAAAAAATTGCCTATTCCGAATTATATTGTATTCTAATATCTCTTTTAAGCTTTTCGGCTATCAGGAATCTCTGTTAAGCTTTTCATAAGGCAAGTCGCTGAGTGTGGATGTTTTTTCCATGTCCATATAAATTAAAAATGCATTCAATATAGCTCGGCATTGAAAATACATTTAATAAAGCTCGGGAAACAAAGGCGCAAATTCCTAAAAATTTATAGGACTACAAAGACAACGCCTTGTCATTCAAAATTTGTAGCAGTTCAATGAGTAAGCGTGCTTTTTGCCGGTTCCTCTTACGGTAGCCAGGGGCGCTGTGTAGTAGCACAAGGCAAGGCGATCGATTTCATTAACCAATGTCCACTATTCAGAGAAAAATTTGGCACGCCGTCAATAATATTGTAATTTTTAAGCAGGGCGTATTAATAAAAGCACACTAAAAATTAAACTGAATTTTAAAATCACCGTCTGGATAAGAAAAAAGTGTTAAGCACCACACACAACCTCTTGGTGAACACTGATCTTTTCAAAACAGGAGCAGTGGCGGGAAAAAGAAAAGCGGGCCAAGTTGAAAAGGTCGCGGAGGATTGGTCACATGACCTCGCCCCATCATGAAATGGAGATTCGGTCCTATTTCAACACATTGACCCTAGAGAAAATAAATCTAATGCGTTATAGTGTGTTGCACACCATTATATTTTCAATAGATAGGTACAAATTGAACGTCTCATAAGGACTAAGTCTGAAATAATTATGCATTGGATAGTAAATAGTGGGGGGAGAACATGGACGGCGCGAAAGGGCATAACGATCGTTGTTCATAACGGTTCATACATACAGAGCACATTTTCTTTCTGTTAGACGACGTTGAATTTTAATGAATATTTGACATAAATGTATAGAAATAACCTTACCGTCTTCTGAATTTTCGTCCGGATCATCTTGATAAAATTCCAAATCTGAAATATAGTGAAATAATGGTGAATTTGGCGCAAAAAGTTCAAATTTTTATGAAACAAAGTAAATGATGTGAGGTGGACTCACCCGCCATGTTGGAAAAGACCACGAGGTGTTGTTAGAGCCTTTTGATTGGACGATTTGATGTCAATATTGGAAGCTGATTGGTTCTTTTAGATTTGCCTACGGAAAATGCCGAGAAAGGCCGATGACTCATGAGAAACTACACTACTTGCGTAAATTTCATTGTACGTATTTTGGTGAATGAATTTGGATTTGTTGCGAAAACCAGAGCCACGTGTATCCGGATAACTTACAAAACGTGCTCCAACCACAGATGGACTAATTATCCCAAAAGAAATATAATATTTGTACCGTCTCATTGAAGATTTCTAACCATTCCTTTGTCCTGTGAGGGTCCGAGCGACACACAAAGAAGGCAACGATGAGTCGATCAGCTGGGTCCCCGTGCTCTCTTAGTGTGTGCCCCCGTTTTCTCGAGGACAAAGAGAGTTTGATGAAAGAAATTCAGAGCAGCTCTGCGTTGTCGAGCCTGTTTTGATTCGTAGACATTACATTTATAACAAAATCGATCTGTTCTGTCTACTAAAGGTATACTGGTCATTGAAACTATTAAACAAAACTGAAGTAACATAAAAATGTAAACAAAGTTTTTAGTGCAGTCACTCTAATTTATGTTAAATTGTATGGACAAGTATGTACACTGTACACAGGCTACAGGCCTGCGGCCTAGGTCATAATACTGATTACGGTACTCGTAATGCTGATATGCACATACTTCGAAATTTTATTAACAAGCACAACACTTCTTATCTCACTCGCAGCTAATACTGGTAACATGGTAATTTAAAAAAAACGTTAGAAATAAAGTTTAAAATATTGTATTTACTTTCTGCCGATTATCTGAAACGAATACAATCCAAACTGAATTACAATTCCAAGAGCGGTATTTTGGTTGCTTTTTACTTTTACGCACACGAGTGCAAGAGTGAAGAATGCCGCCTATGCAGGGTTAAAGTTAATATTAAAGGACTGAGCGGCCCGATCCGTGAGGCGCGTGCTTCCTGGTTGACAGATTTTTCAGAGTAAGAACGTCGACAGCGACACATGTTTTAAACAACAGTGAGATTGATATAGCAATAGAAGAAGTTAATGTATTATTTCTGTTAACTCGTTACTTTAAAAAAAAAACATTTTCCTACTTACAACAAACTATTTACTAATCTGAACCTTAAAAAACAAGTATTTAGTAAATTCGTGAAATACTTCAGTTACCGGTAGATATCATGATTAAAATTGACTCCTTGTTTTCGCAGCGTGTGAAGTCTATGCACGGTGTCGTAACTCAACTTCAATAACGATTAACACCAAAAATTGGAATAAACAACGTGAATTATATAATCATACGTACTTTAGAAAAATCACTACCGGTTTAAAAAAAATATTTTTGCGGGCCATCCATAAATGACAATGGCGTCTAGTCATATAGGGTGTGGGGTCACATACTTGTTACGAGGGTATCTAACCTTTGGTGACAATATTTTTTTTTTTTTTTTTTTTGGGGGGGGGGGGGGTAAGCATAAATCGCGTGATGTCGTGTGAAGGATTAGCCCTAGAGCAGGGGTCTCCAACTCGCGGGCCATTTTGCGGCCCGCTACATGACAGTAACGGTTTGCCCGAGTTTTGCCCATTCTTATATCTATAATGTGACCTACCGCGACGGTTTCAGTCTAATCTCACCGACTAGTCTAATTTTGATTTTTATTATATTTGTATAGATTTGGATGTCGATTATAATGATAGTACCGGTAACCATTTGAAAACAGGACAAAAAATTTTAATTTTATAGCATTTTATGAGACAAACATGGCCAAAATGCGGTTTTGATAAAATTTTAAAAAGTCAGTTAGTGGAACAATCTGACACAGTATCAAAGAATCCCTATTAAAATTGCCCCTACTGTTAACGGGTGAGGAAAATTCCGAGCATGTCAGCTTGGTTCCATTTCAAAATAGGGTTAGTCAAAAAGGCCTTTTGTATGAACACAACGGGTGAGGAAAATTCCGAGCATGTCAGCTTGGTTCCATTTCAAAATAGGGTTAGTCAAAAAGGCCTTTTGTATGATAAAAACAAATCAAAATTCATTCTTCAAACAATAGCATCTTCCTTCGCATCAATAATTCATAAATATTGCCCACTGTCTTAACACATTTTAGCATTTTAAGCCTTCATGGAGAAGGTTGGGGTGGTTTTTCCGGTACTAAGTGATCCCAAATGGCTTCTGGACTTGGGTTTTCTTGTTGACCTTAAACAGGAGCTGAATGTACTCAACAAAAAAGTAACAAGACCAGGAGCAACTTGTCAGTGTTGCCTATGACAATGTCAGGACATTTTGCACAAAAATTGCGTTATGGTTCTTAGAGAAACCTCTGCCATTTCCAAACATGAAACGAATTCATGGATTCGGGCACACCATTCAGTAGTGACTGTACTGATGCCATTGCACATTTACAGGAAACATTTGATGACATTTTTTTTTTTACTTCAAAACACACAGAGCCACTTTTCAACTTTTTGCTGACCATTTCTCCTTTAATGTGGAAGATACCATACTGAGGCTCATTTTTTTTAAAAAGCAGAGGAGTTAAAATTTTGATTTGCTGAATAATGTGAAGAATTATTACTACTATTAGAGAAATTGCAATCGTTTTTTGTCGCCCCCGCCCCCCCCCCCCCACACACAAATATTACAGTCGAACCAACTTATCTCGACCTCGGTTAACTCGCCTTCCCTTTTAAGTCGACTTTTTTTAAATAGAACCGCCGAATTCTCTCTTTGTCTTAGCATTTTCTCCTCGGTTATGTCGATTCTTTTATGTCACCGAATCCTGATATCTCGAGCACGAAAGGCGGCCAAAGTTGCCACTTAGCCTCGGTTATCTCGATCCCCATGACCGATCCCCGGCTTTTGAAATTATATACAACAGAAACGTTCTTACTTTTCAAACTGTAGTAATTGAAATGAAATGACAATATCGTTGTCCGCGAAATTAACTTGACACAACAAGAAGCGAGGAGCGAGAGGCTTGCAAACAAAAGAGAGAGGTTGCAGTACCTTTATTTTGGCGAACTCGCTTGTCGCTTAGTAGGCTTTCACGCGTTCTTATACGTTGATTTTTTTTATTTTTTTTAAACCCAGAATCCTTTTTTGAAGAACGAATTGGCTGTTCTCACCCGGGTATCACACGTGAGAGGTTGAGATTAAAAACTACCGGTATTTAAAATATTGTTGTTGGGTTTGTAAGATAAAATGAGGCATCAAATGAAATATAATTGGATGGACAATATTTTTGTTAACTTACTTCTTCAGTTTAACTAAAATAAAATACCACAAATGACAACCGAATGGGATTTAGTCTAAAGGGACCCGGGTACGCATAGCCGCTATTCGCTATTTTTTCTCTCTCTCTCTCTCTCTATCATTTTCAGTACCGGTACGGTAACAAACTCTAAAAAAAACACTGTCTCAATTTCTCTCTCTCTCCAGTTAGGGTTAGTGCCGTCCGGGATAGGGCGCGATTTTTGCTGCCCCCCCCCTTTCAACTATTCAACTGTCCGAAAATGCCGCCCCTTCTTACGCCACGTTGTACACGCAGAGAGCGAGTGGCGATGAGATTTTAAATTTAAGAGGCAAAAAATTAAAGGCGCCTTTTGCGCTGTTTCATAAAGTGATGAGGGAATTTAACGGATGAGGAAATACGGAACTTTTCTTCTTCCCCCCCCCCCACCCCCCTTTTTTTTCACCCCGACCCTACCATTCACTCCTCAGTTTTTTGTTTGTATAATAGTTTCACAAATTTACGAAATGTCACTGAAAATGGATAAGGGCATGGCATAATGACATAAAGACATAATCCTGGGCTGGTCAGGACAACAAAGGTCAACAGCAAGCATGCCCTGCTCCAACTTACTAAGTCAAGATTTTCTCCCATGTTGCCCAGGAAGATTCGTACTGGACACAACTGGGCACTAAATTCGCTTCACACTGGCGTCACTGGTCACCGCTTCCCCTTTAATTCCACCCCCCACCCCCCTATTTAAAAAAAAAAAAATTAAAAATAAACCTTGTACTTGTATTGGAAATGATTGGTACCGGTACAAGGATTGACGGGTCCTCATTTTAACCACAGCTTCTTCACTTGTATCATAAATGATTGGTACAAGGATTGACGGGTCCTCATTTTAACCACAGCTTCTTCACTTGTATCATAAATGATTGGTACGAGGATTGACCGGTCCTCATTTTAACCACAGCTTCTTCACTTGTACCGGTATCATAAATGATTGGTACAAGGATTGACTGGTCCTCATTTTAACCACAGCTTCTTCACTTGTATCATAAATGATTGGTACGAGGATTGACCGGTCCTCATTTTAACCACAGCTTCTTCACTTGTACCGGTATCATAAATGATTGGTACAAGGATTGACTGGTCCTCATTTTAACCACAGCTTCTTCACTTGTATCATAAATGATTGGTACAAGGATTGACTGGTCCTCATTTTAATCACAGCTTCTACTTCTACAATTTGGACCTTACGACCGCTGTATCAGTAGGCCATCGCCTGATTAAACTTAACTGCCGTGTCAGATTAAAGCCAGATTAATGTCTATTGGCATGGAGTTCTGGCAGTATCTGTGAGATAGATTAATGTTGATTTGTATGGAGTTCTGGCAGTATCTGTGAGATAGATTAATGTTGATTTGTATGGAGTTCTGGCAGTATCTGTGAGATAGATTAATGTTCATTTGTATGGAGTTCTGGCAGTATCTGTGAGATAGATTAATGTCTATTGGCATGGAGTTCTGGCAGTATCTGTGAGATAGATTAATGTCTATTGGCATGGAGTTCTGGCAGTATCTGTGAGATAGATTAATGTCTATTGGCAATGAGTTTTGGCAGTATCTGTGAGATAGATTAATGTTCATATGTATGGAGTTATGGCAGTATCTGTGAGATAGATTAATGTCTATTGGCATGGAGTTCTGGTAGTATCTGTGAGATAGTTTAATGTCTATTGGCATGGAGTTCTGGCAGTATCTGTGAGATAGATTAATGTTCATATGTATGGAGTTATGGCAGTATCTGTGAGATAGATTAATGTCTATTGGCATGGAGTTCTGGTAGTATCTGTGAGATAGATTAATGTTCATATGTGTGGAGTTCTGGTAGTATCTGTGAGATAGATCAATGTTCATATGCATGGAGTTCTGGTAGTATCTGTGAGATAGATTAATGTTCATATGTATGGAGTTCTGGTAGTATCTGTGAGATAGATTAATGTTCATATGCATGGAGTTCTGGTAGTATCTGTGAGATAGA